AGAGCGTTCCGTGCGCATGCGCACGGAACGCTCTTGCAGTTTCGGGGGGATTTAAACATCCCCCCGAAATTTTTTTCTACTTTTAGCATTTTTGTGCACATGTGGGGACTGGCCCACGTGTGCACAAACCTCCCCCTCCCCCCCAAGTGCCCCCGGAGCGCTGATTTAGCGATCCGCACTCCAGGGGCAACTTGGCTATTAGATATATAGATAAACACCATGGACTCAGTCTCTTAATACTCTGCTGACTAATTTAAAAGGAATCCCAACACAGTGCCATACATCCACACCCATGTTTTTTAGGATTGTAATTACCCTGACCTTGATAGCCCAGGCTAGCCCGATCTCATCAAATCTCGGAAGCTAAGTAGGGTCACCCCTGGTTAGTACTTGGATAGGAGACCACCTAGGAAGTCCAGGGTCACTCCATAGACACAGGCAATGGCAAACCATCTCTAAGTGTCTCTTGCCTTGAAAACCCCTATGGGTTTGCCATAAGTTGGCTGTGACTTGATGGCAAAAAAAAAGTGTAATTATGAAATTAGTCACACAAAAAATAAAAGCAAATTAAGGAGCAATCATTTCATCTTGCAAAGAGAAAAGCAGTAGTTAATATATTTCCCCCTCTCCCACAGAAAAGGAACTGATTAAGGATAACTCAGTAAGCACAGAGAAGCAAGGGTGCTCACAGTCCTGTCTTGTAAACAAAAGATAGAAATAACATCTTAAGGGGATAGTTACGGAGAGAAATGAGACCTTTGCTGAATGGGAATCGTGTAGTACTGGATAGTTTCAGAGGGTAGTTGTGTTGGTCTGCAGTAGAACCGTTGGATTTGAGTCCAGTAGCACGTTTGAGTCCAACGAGAATTTTGGGGTATAAGCTTTTGAGAGTCAAAGAAATATCGAACAAAGGGAGCTTTGACTCTCAAAAGCGTATCCCCTCAAAATCTTGTTCATCTCTAAGGTGCTACTGGACTTGAATCATAGAATCTAGTAGGATTTTAACCAAGGAGATGGGCATTGCTGGATTTTTCTGGGAATTAGAGCACTGTATTAAGTGTGGTGTGGCACCCGAGTTTCAATTCCGCTTGTAGCTGATGGTGGAGAAACAACACTCCAGAGGCACAAAAGAATCATAGGGTGGAAAATAGCCTGAATTAGCTTTCATTTTTCATTTTTCCTTCTGACTTCCCATCACGGTAGAAAGTGTTTCTTCCAAAGAGCAAAGCACAAGTGATCTACAGGCAGAGACTTATCACCACTGACAATGTTCAGTTAGGTGTGGAAAAAATACAGACAGCAGAATCCTTTGCAGGAGTCTTTTGACACCAGAATGGCTCCTCGACTGACAATTTGATCAAGGGCTGTAAGTCATCATCCAGTAGCTTGGGCTGTGTTCCTAATCGCCAGTGGTGTGAATTTTTGTTGGAAGACTTATTTAACAATGACACATGGCTTTTAAGCAAATAGGTGAAAACAATTACTTTCTTGAACTTACCCTCCTCTTTCTTCCTTCGTCTTGCCCTTTTTCTCTAGGGCTGCTTTCCCATTCATTGCTGCACCCTGAGTCTTTTCTGTGCTGGCTGTCTCCCCAGCTGCCTACCTGTGACGGATTGCTGGGGCACCGTCTGACGTAGCAGACTGACTGTTAGGTTTCTACTCTGTAATATGCTGATTTTATTGTATTAACTGTTGGAAATTGCCCTGAGCCCTGCTTGGCAGGGAAAGGAGTGGGATATAAGTTGAATAAATAAAATACATTCATAACCCTGTTGTAAATGGAAAGCATCATATGAATGAATAGCTTGAGCCTTGCACTGGGTTATCTGAAGCACATTTTCAAAGAAGGATGTATGAAGCTTTGCTCCAGCAGGGGGCAGCAGAGATGCACAGCAGTGCATTCCAAAAAGGCAGAGCTGCTTCTTGAGCAAGGGGGCATTAGGCCAAACCCAGTTTTAAGTCCAGAAGCACCAAGCAGCTGTGTAGAAGGGAAACAACTCAAGGAGTCTTATGGCACCTTAAGGTCAGACAGGTTTATTCTGGTCTGAGCTGTCCAGAGCTATTTCATCAACTCAAGACCTGGCCACTGCTGGAAATGTCCACTCACACTAGGGTTGCCAGCTCCAGGTTGGGAAATACCTGGATATTTTGGGGGTGGAATCCAAGGGGAGGGGAGGGACTTCAGTGAGGTATAATGCCATAGGGCCCCACCTTCCAAAGCGGCCATTTTCTCCAGGGGAACTGATCTCTGTTGCCTAGAAATGAGTTGTAATCCCAGGAGATCTCCAGCCACCACCTGGAGGCTGGCAACCCTAACTCACACTGTGCCCTTCAGGGTTCTTTGTGCCCGAAGAAGACCAGAGAGCTTCCCTTACAAAGAAACCAGGGCCTGATTCACATAGACGGGAGAATGAAATGGTGCAATGGATTGTACAGAATGCAGAGGTGGGGTTACGTTTTGGAATCTTCCGTTATGTTTAAGAAAAGTTCCCTGTGAATAAAAAAAAGTCAGCACAGCAAGAAAAGAGGGGGCAACTAGAACCTTTCTCTAGAACGTACCTGTTTGCTACTGGCATGGACCTTTAAATTATTTGAGCATTCAAAGGTGGGATTCACCCTCTGCAGTTGAAATGGTGCAGTCTGTTCTTCTGCCGGTTGTGCTACCTCGTTCCCTTGCAGATGTGAACCAAGCCTGGGATGTCCAGACTGTGCTGAAGGTGGCAGGTTTCATATTAAAGTGTTGCAATTGTTCCTTAATCCTTGAAGTGTGTGTGAACTCTGCCACTTTTAACACAGTGGATGGAGGTGGGAGGTCACCTCCCAGGCTCCTTTGCTCATTTGACTGGGTATCTGTTGTTTAGCCCACCTTTGGCATGAAGACCTGGGGTAGGACCATCATGCTGTAGGACATGGGCCAGGTTGAAACTTCGGGGGAATGCGACTCCAGAGGAACAGCCCCAGATAGCATCCTTTTTACATGCCCTGCCTGTCCTCAACTTGGCACTGCAGATACTTGAGTAGGCCTCAGTCAGTTGATCTGAGAAATGTGTACTTTCTGTTGTTTCACAGGCCATAGCAACTGATTTGTGGATTAGGCCAAAGGTCTACCCAGCCCTTTACTCTCTCCCTGATTACCCCAGCTGGGCAATCCACAAAGAAAGAGATGGCTGTATCCCCGCATGCTTCCCAAGAGTTGGAGGAATACTTGGGGAAGTGGGCATCCTGAAATTTTAGTACAAAATTTGGTGTGGGGGCTCTCAGTTTTTATTTCAGCAGGGGGGATGTCCAACCCTTGTTTAGCTTAGAGTCAGGCTACCTGTAAAGTGCATTCCCAGTTAAAGTGCGGTGACAGTAAAGTCCAACACAATTGTCCAGGGAGCACCCAAACATGCATCTTCCCTAGACATTTCCCCCAGAATCCTCGGCAACACTTTGGGGGCTTTGTAGCCTGAGCCAGCGTGGAAACCATTCTCAGAAAACCTTTGCCAGTTTGGTATAGTGGTTATGAGCGTGGACTCTAATCTGTGTGAACTGGGTTTGATTCCTCACACCTCCACATGCAGCTGCTGGTGTGACCTTGGATCTATCATGGCTCTCAGAGCTATTCTCTCAAGAGCAGTTCTCAAAAGAGCTCTCTCAGCCCCACCTACCTCACAGGGTGTCTGTTGTGAGGAAGGGAAGGAAAAGGAGATTATAAGCCGCTCTGAGACTCCTTCGGGTAGTGAAGGGCGGGATATAAATCCAATCTCCTCTTCTTCTTGCTCTGTTAAAACCTGTGAGGCCTTTATCTGGCTATAGCTGCAGCTGGTTTTGGGGATCCTTGTGTAGGTGCTCTACAGTGCAAGTAATTGAGGGGTACTGGCTTGACTGAGCCTCGGGAGAGGTGGTGGTTGTGTGACTCAGCCATTGTTCTTTTGCCTTACGCAGGTGGGACTCCGGCAACTGGACATGTCCCTTTTGTGTCAGCTGTGGTCCTTGTACGAGTCGATTCAGGAGTACAAAGGTCTCTTTCAGGATATGTCCTCCTCGCTTCACTCAGAAGGCAGTCTGGCTGCTGAAAATGGCTTCTCTGACGAGGAGGAAGACTTTGAGGTGGATCCATCTAGCCCAGATGGGCATAAGGAGAATGCCTTGGGTCAGCGACTCCGTCTTCTCCAGCCTCAGAACTCTCGGGACCAGTGGCTGCAGGACTCCTTCCATATCACCATCTGAGGTGGCCTCTGCCACAGAATTGCCTTTCCCTGTGACGGGGGAGAAACTCTGACAATACATTAGGAATTTTTTTTTGTAGGATTGGGGAATGAGGCACGTTAACACGGGCAGTTTGTGGCTGGTTTGGGAACTGCCCCTGAACATGCTGTAGGGTTTGCACTTAACCAGTAGTAGTTTAGTGTTTTATTACCACTGGATAGACCCAGTGGGATCTCATTGGAAATTCTTCTGAGAGAGACATGATGTGGGGACAGTTGAGGAGTCGAGTGGGACTCCTTCTGTCTGCGAGGGCATAGAATTGTCTAGAGCAGGGGTCCCTGGTGTGGTGTGGTGGGTGCCATGGCACCTGCCGGTATCTTTCTTGATGCCCACCAAGTGTTTTTAGAAAGTGGGCGGGGGCCGGGTGGGGCTTTTCTCCAGCAAAGCTTTTGATTGGCTGTGCAGATTTTTTAAAAATGTTGCTTTGGTGGAAGCTGCCTCCAGAGCACAAGGATCTTCACTGGGTGACTGAAAGTAAAGCTTCAGCAGCCATTTTGTGGCTGCACTCATCCTTCCGTGTCAGAATTCCAAATGTGCCCACAGGCTCAAAAAGTTTGGGGATCCTTGGCCTAGTACATCAATAGACTAGCCAGGGGCAAGGAAGACTGAACAGCTATAAAAACAGTCCTAACGTAGCATTGTGAGAATACTACCAGACAGAAGTTCTTTGTCATTATAAACATTGGTGGGGTGGGGTGGGGGAAGGTGCAGATGTTCCCTGGGTGTGCATGAACCTCTCCCGGTAACTGGGAAACTAATATATTTGAGGAAACAATAGTGCCCTCTCTGGCCATGATGCTGGCTTTCTGCTTGTTTATGAGGAAGGGATCTCACTTTGCTGGGCTCCACCTTCTCACAGGTTGCCCTGAGTCCCGCAGGGCCTCATAATGATGTGATTTGAGGCTGGGGCAGCTCAGAATCCCTCTTTACGAACCTTTAGCTTTCTCCCCGATTGTCCTCCCAACTTGCTACTTCAGCTTTGGAGGGGCGGAGCTCATTTCCCCTATCCTTTTCTCCTGTCTTTTCTGCTGGAAGCATCCAGGAATGGTATAGCTGGATAGGAACTTGCTGTGCACGAAGCTTATTTGCTAGATTTTTTCTAGGCAGAGTTGCATTGGCTGGATCATTAGTGCCTCGGCCATATTACCCCAAAGTGGCCTCTTTTAAAATATTTAATTATATGTGAACTTTCTTCTTCTTCAAGCCTTGAAATATGAGGTTTGGGATTGGGAGAGGGAATCCCTTTTTCTCCCTCTCCCTCCCATTTGTAACTGGGTACAAACCTTAAATGGCTAATTTAATATATTGGTTGTGATGGGGCATTTTGCCAGTGGGAATCTAGGGAATAAAATGCCTCAGCCTCTTAACAAACCAAGGTTTGGTTGTGTTTCATTCCCAGGTAATGTTGTTCTGAAGGGGGATTAAATGTGTCTAATGGGAATTATAAAGCAGGTAAGCTGGAGCTAGATAGGCAAAGGTTTGAGCATGATGGGAATGTTCCCATTGGGCATTCACTCTTCTTGTTGCCAGCCTAGGATCATTCGATATCTCCATAATCTCCCAAATCCAAACACCTCTGTAGGAGAACAAAAGAACTGGCTGTTTTCGTCCATCACAAATTCATTGTTTCCTTCTTCTTGTCTGCTGTCCGCCTTTAATGAACCCCTCCCAATCCACAGAAGATGTAGAACCGCTCCCAAACACCTATCTCCACCTTTCATGCTCTGCTAAGGCCTGCCTCACCAGCTCCCCCTTCCTCACTTTCTGCTGAAGGCGGAAACGGAAACTATCCACTCTGCTATAGCTACTTCTCTCTTCCATCGTTTCCTTTCTCCTCCTAGGTTTTCCTCTTCCCACACCCCTTTCTGCCTCTCCCCCCACACACTTGGTGAGTTGGCTACCTGGTTTACCACATCCGATTCTTCCCCGATGTCTAACTGCCATTAATCAGCCTATCCCTCTACTCTGGCTCCTCTCTTACTGAAATCAAATGCCACCTTCCCCCATTCTCAAAAGGCCCTCACTTGACCCTCCTTCCTCTCTAACTAACCCCCCCCCATAGCAGTAGAAAAGAGTCCAGTAGCACCTTAAAGACTGACCAAATTTGTGATAGGGTATGAGTTTTTGCGAGTCACTGCTCATATCTGAAGACGTGAGCAGTGACTTGTGAAAACTCATTCCTAGCCACAAATTTTGTTAGTCTTTAAGGTGCTACTGGATTCTTGCCAGTTTGGTGTAGTGGTTAAGTACGTGGACTCTAATCTGGGAGAACCGGGTTTGATTCCCACTCCTCCATTTGCACCTGGCTGGATGACCTTGGGCAAGCCGTAGTTCCGATAAGAGCTGTTCTTAAAAAAAGAGCAGTTTCTGTCAGAGCTCTCTCAGCCCCACCTACCTCACAGGGTGTCTGTTGTGGGGAGGGGAAGGGAAAGGAAAGGAGTTTGTAAGCCGCTCTGAGACTCCTTTGGGTAGTGAAGGGCGGGGGAATAAATCCAATCTCCTCCTCTTCTTCTCTTTTCTGCTGCTACAGACAGACTAACACGGCTACCCATCTTGATCCACCACAGGGACAGTCAGATGTGTGTTTTCAAGTTCCTTGCTTGGAACTCAATTCCCAGGCCTGTAGGGTCTAATTCAGATCCAGACCATGGTAACTGAGGAGAAGCAGTTTATCCTTCCATGCTGCACACCATTTTTCCACCAGGAGGCTGAAGTTGCTTCCTTATTCCCAGTTCCTTGTTGATTCCTTATTCATGACTTATTCATGAATTCAACCTAAAACACTGAGAATTTGAAACCTCTGAACCCAAAAATAAGGTCGGGAACACCATATATCATACACCCCAATGTTCAGGAACTCTCCCCTTCAAGGGGAAATATGGCACTTCCTGGTCCAAGGCAGTGTTCCCTCTAAGCCGAGTTAGTGTGAGCCAGCTCACAGCTTTTTAGCCTCCAGCTCACACATTTTTGTCTTAGCTCAAGAAGGATGGCTCCAGAGCAGACTAATTTATGCAGCAGCCAAATCGCTCGCTCACAACTTTAATGCCAGTAGCTCACAAAGTAGCGTCTTTGCTCACCAGACTCCACAGCTTAGAGGGAACATTGGTCCAAGGCCCGGTTCTTGTGCTAGCTGCTCCAAAGTGAGGTGCCCCCAGGATAGTCACACAGGCAGACACTGGGGCCAGGCTGCAACACACACATCCCCGCTGCAGGTTGGGAAATACCTGGAGATTTTGGGGATGGAGCCAGAGGTGGGTGGGGTTTGGGGAGTGACTTCAATGCCATAGAGTCCACCTTCCAAAGCAGCCATTTTCTCCAGGTGAACTGGAGATCAATTGTAATAGCGGGAGATCTCAAGCTACCAGCTGGAGGGTAAACAATCAAACTACATGCAACCAGTGTTCCCTCTAAGCTGAGTTAGTGTGAGCTAGCTCACTGTTTTTTAGCCACCGGCTCACAGATTTTTCTCTTAGCTCAGGAAGGAGGGGCTCCAGAGCAAACTAATTTACGCAGTAGCCGAATCGCTTGCTCACAACTTTAATGCCAGTAGCTCACAAAGTAGAATTTTTGCTCACAAGACTCCATAGCTTAGAGGGAACATTGCATACAACCATGATATGATTAATACATTTACTGTAAACAGTCTTATAAATATTTCATAAGTAGTGTTAACATCCTTTTTATAATTACATAGAAAAAGTGCCTGTGCCAAGTGTCTTGAAAGACTTCCCAAGGTTTTAAATTTTTAAGTCCGTAATCAATTCATGTCTATATTTCACTTGCGCACTGCATTCCCTGCGGCTCCACCGATGCAGTGCGCAAGTGAAATATGGGCATGAATTGATTGATTATGGAACAGGACTTAAAAACGTAAAACCGTGGGAAGTCATATCTTGATTGTATGTCGTTTGATTGTTTCACCTCATCCTGTGATCTCTCTTTAAAAAAAAAAACACCTGGAGGTTGGCAACCCTAATATGGGAGAGAGAAACTGTAATCCTTTCTTCCCCTGGTTGTTTTCTCCCCTGCAACAAGCCACCACAGAACTGCAGGTAGCCATATTTCCCTAGGGAGGATAGATACAGCGGGGTGGTGGGTGGTGGGGTGTCTTCGTAGTGAAAAAAACAGCAGAGGAGGAAAGAGTTAAAATTTCCTCTTCTCCCCTTTGCAGAGGAAGAAATTAAAAATAAATACAAAAGAAAACTTACCATACTGCTGCTAAGTGTTAAGGTGCCCTAATCAAGCTCTGTGTGTGTCGTCCCCCCCTTCGCATGTTTTTCTTCTACCACCCTCTGGGTGACTAGGATTCCTCCTTCTCAAATTAGGCGGCCATTGTTATCGGCTTCCTGATTCTGTCTGGTTTTCACATTCTCCCAACAATAGGGCTTCCCCGAGTTCCTGCTTCCTCCTATTCTTGATTGCAGCCAAAACACCAGCAACTTCCTCTCCTCCGCCACTCCCTATATATATACATACACACACACACCTCCCCAGCCGAGAAAGCTGAAATTGCTTTCATCTGTTTATAACATGAAAGCTGATCGCAGAGGAAGGAAAGATCAGAGTCCCAAAAGAGTCTAGACAAAACAACCCCCTTCAGACTGATTTTCACCAGTTAACACAGAACTCTGTCGTGTTGCGATAAACGCATGGCTCAAAAAACCTACCTGCACAAAAGTTTTTGTGCATGTGTGCCAGTTGTCTAGACATCAGCTGCAGGCTCCTAACAACACAGAAATATTTTCCTAGCTCTCCATCAACCTATGCCACCACGAGACAGCTTGCAGGTAAAAGCTTCCACCTGACCAATGACATTTCTTGGGGCCTGCTTTGTTTAAATTTGGTAACTGGAATATTCCTTTGGACTAGGAGTTACAAAGGAGCTGCCAGTGTTATCACTGATGTCAGAAGTGGCTGGACTCCCAATCTGTGAATTTAGGCAGATCATGAGAGGGAGGGCAGGAAGGGTTGCATCAGTGCTTAGTTCTTGTGGCCCTTTCTTACATGCCCAGGGAAATGCTGATCACCAGTGGGGTCAGGAAGCAATTTTTCTCCAGGCCAGTTTGGCTGGGGATCATGGAGGTTTTTTGTCAACTTCTGGACATGGAACAGTGGTCACTGGGGGCGTGGGGGGAGGTAGTTGTGAATTTCCTGCATTGTGCAGGGGGTTGGACTAGATGACCTTGGAGGTCCCTTCCAACTCTTATGACTCTTATGAACTCAGGCTGTCGGGGTCTCCCTGTTGTGGCACAGGGCAAGGTCCCACTTCAGGAAAATTCTGAAGGGTCATCTGGATTTCATGATCTTGTTCAATCTGGTTCCTAGG